TACTATTCTATCCTATCGTTCCTTCTTATTCTATCCTATCCTTCCTATCCCATCCCTTTTATCCCTATCCGTTCCTTCCTATCTATCCTTCATATCCTTTCCTTCCTATCTATCTATCCTTCCCATCCTTTCCTTCCTATCCCTCCTATCTTATCCTTCCTTGCTGTGCTATCCTATCTTTCTTCTCTATTCTCTCCTATCGTTACATCATATTCTGTCCTATCCCTCCTTTCTATTTCATCCATCCAGCCATCTTTTTCTGGATGACTCGGCTTAAAAAAGTCTAGATCTGGAGTCTGAAATTGAACTTGTTCAATTTCCAAAGTCTAGTTATATTAGTACTTTGTAAAGAATTTCCATACTATACGGTAAATCAAGGGGATTTAATTTAGAAAATGAATAATCTTTATTTTTCAGATACAATATCAATGAGGTTGGCTCCCGGGGATTCAATACTTAGCCTATGTATTTAGTTTACCTTGTATATCCTTTTAACTTTGATAAAGACAAATACCATTAAGGAACCAAACAAAATACGTTTCATTCATGAACCACGCACTCACGCGTTTTATTCATTTCCCGACCAACACCTATAAACAGAACATAAAACAGTTTCTCTAGATATTCAATGATACATTATATTGGCGTTTTTGCATCAGCACATTGGTGTTGTTGCATCATCGATAATAAACAGAATGGTGTTGTTGCATCAATAGTGAGGAATTAAAACCGCGAATTTCTCGCTTCTTGATGATGGTACATGCATACTAATGAGAGTTTTTTTAAATATAGATCATGAGCTAACTGCATGTGTATGATTATTGAGCAACTCGTCCTAGAAATGGGTTTAAATTGGGAAACAAAATATCGTACGAAAATCTATCACCGGAAGTCTGGCCATCTTGATGCAACAACACGGTGTTGTTGCATCACGATACCCCCCAGTGATTATGTGTGAAAATATGAACAATTATTTCTGTAGAAGATTTCTTACTTTTTGTATTTAACTATTAAGATGTAGAATAACTACTGTATTCAGGCCTGTCAACTTGGGAACACCTAACATGAGTGACTTGGAAATGTTGAACACCTCCCCTCAAAATGTGGACACCTTGGTCCAAATCTGAACACCTTGATCCAAATTTCGAATTTTATTACATCTTGGCAAATTTTGAACACCTCAAATTTTTCGCGCTCGCTATGCTCGGATTTCAAACATCCATCAACCAATGGGGGGGGGGGGCAAATACGTAATTCGCGTGAAAAGTCCGAACGAAATGCGTACGTTTTTTTCCGGCGTTCGTATTTTTGCTGTGTAGAGATCTTTTTTTAGAAATTTTTCTACAGAAATATTTTTGCTTGACAATTACCAGGTAAAATGCGTATTTGCGTGACATTTTCTGTCACGCAAAAATAACTGGCGTGACTTCAAATTCTTCAGCAAATGCGTGACAAATACGCAAATTGCGGGACAGTTGACAGGCCTGTGTATTTTGCTATTTACCACTGAAGTACCATGAGAAAATTACAAGTGGAAAGTATATCCGATCATAAGAGAATTTACAACAAAAACCTTCAAATGAATACCTTTACCTTCAAATCTTTTACATTATCAGTTTCCACAAAACAAAAATTGAAAATCTGTTTTGATTTACTTTGGTTCCTGTAATCCTGTTCTCAAGTGACATCACCTTGCATAAGACAATGTCCAAGATAAGTCATATTAAAAACAGCAGAGGTTAGTCCTTATGCAAGGCATATGTCAAAGACTTCTGAGACAGAGCAGTTGTTTGTTGTCAAGACTGCAGATGAAAACTGATACTTTGATATATCCTTAGGTCAGGATGACATTGCAGGTGCTCCCATCATAATGACCAAAACCAAGCAAAAAGAGAAAATAATATAAACCAGACTTGAAAATAAAATACAGAAACAATGCACAATTCAACAACCATTTATGATAAAATGTCAAGAAAATTTAGATTTGCAATATGTAGCAACCACCTTGTAAGGGTTTAGCAGCCACTTGATTCCATGACAACTAAGGAACATGAGACCAGGTCAATCCTGTAGTTCAGGCTACCATTTGATGTCACAACTCAGTCATACTGCGTTTACTTGTAAAACATATGAGTCACTTTTAACTCGTTTCTTCCATTTTCTACATATTTAAAGTTCCTGTTTTGGATACCAGGACAACCATCAAAGGAGGATTGGTTATGATTAAGTAAGTAAGTAAGTATCATTATCGGTCAAAACTGAAGTTAACTAATAAAGTGCATGTTACAAGTGAATGGAAGGAATACAAGTACAATAATAGTATTTCGTGTGTATTATAAAGTACATTCTATTATTTGATCATCCAAAACATACAACACTTATTCAGAAAAGATGATGAATAATAATCTAATAAAGAAATAAGAATGGATAGAAAGTGCAAACTGTTAGAGCCAATATTGTCAAAATCAATCCCGGGGGGTTCACTATATATAAACCTTGACGGGGATCCTCGGCGCATGTGGGGTACCTTTTTCAATGTTTGGTATGGCAATGGACCAATATTTTAGGATTTGGTATGGAAATGCCCAGAAATTTCTGACTTCTGAGGTATGGCAATGGTCGGACTTTTGCTCTTCTGGTATGAGAATGGTCGTTGTAGATATGTTACCTAACATTCGTGGTATGGCATTGGTCCAGTAGTTGCAAATTTGAAGTTGTTTTGGACCGTTTCGCGAAGTATCTTCTTTTCCAGGGCCTTCTTCAACTTTTGAATTTTAGCCCTTTTCCCAGGAAATGAGGACCAATCATAGGCTTTGATGAAGTCTCGCGAGATTTTTCGTGACATTTGGTATGGCATTGGTCCCATAATTGGACATTTGGTATGGCATTGGTCCTATATTTGGACATTTAGTATGGCCTTTGGGCGTTATTTTGGTTGGTATGGGAACATATTGAAATTTGACAGATTGGTATGGGAACATATTGATATTTGAGGCTTCAGCCTAGGACCCCTGTCGAGTTTTATATACAGGGAACCCCCCGGGAAATCAATATTCTCAAAATCATACCTGTTTCAAATTCTTATCTCAATTTCTGAAAAAAGATTTGAGATATTTTATCAAATATAGAAGTTATTGAAGATTTAAGGGCCAGAATGTCCAAATTCTTTGAAATTGGGATTGTCCCCTTTGAGTAGGATTTAGGTCCCCTATGAGTGGGATTATGGCCTCATTTGTTCATGATGACCATGATGAAAGTGTCAAAAACAGAGAATCCTGTATGTTCTACTATGTTCATCCCTGCTAAGAATGAATTAGACATGTAAGATTGATGCTAACATGATCCAAATGTGCTACATCAGCTTATATCTTATAAGACAAGCTATTGATCAAAGTCAGATGGCTTCTATGCTAAGACAAGCTCCAGGGCTGATACCATATAGAGTTTTATCAATGCTCTTTTGTGAATAAACAGGGAAGAATCTGGGAATTTATAGGGAAGATGAGCCAAAATGAAAACAGAAAGCAAGGTCTTAAACTTGAACAAAGCAATTGTTTGCCATTTTTATCCATCATGGTATTTCAATTTCATATATGCCTGAATGAATATACTAATTTTCCAAGGGCATGAATCTTTCTTTATGGAGGAAAGTTCTTCTTTGGAAAACCCATTGTGCTACTACATGTATTTCGGTTTAAAATACCAACTTAGTGAACAATCTTATTCCAAAAATTAATGAAATCAGTAGACACAGACATGTTAATCTGTAATGATCACCCCTTATTGCTATGTTACCTAAACAATGTTGGCTTTGATCAACCTACAGCTGAATAAAACATTTCTTTAATAATCTCTGGATTTAAATCATCCATGCTCTATATTAAGTGACTGTTAAACAAATGAATAAGGTATCATTGCATTCCATTTGAAGCTTTGGGATTTGTTTAGTTCTAAATCACAACAGAATTGATTGTGGATTTTTATCAGAACTAACAAACAAGTTGTTTTACATCTGAGAACAGACTGATTATACAGTTAGACAACATTATAATAAAATGATTACATAATGGAGAAATATAATATTAATCCAAATGCCTAGGCTTGATTGAACACTCATTATTCATCAAATTATGTCATCTTTTTTCTTTGGTGCCTAATTATGACATCATGATGTGATGTTAAACATTAATAACCAATATCATACATTGCACAGTCAACTGTTAGAATTATTGACCACCTCTTGACAGCCAGAATAGAGTATTTCTTTTAGTGAACACCTGTCCGACATGAACATAATTTGGATGGGGTGTAATTTGTATCGTATTGTATTTTTTTTGTTTACCACCAATGAAGGTGAGCAATACCTCTTGGGTATATCCCATATTTTACTATGTGTGACGTCATTTTAAAGCTGTGGTGAAGACTTTAGAGATTCGAATCGTATATGCGTGATTCTAAATGAAACCAGATTTCTATTACTGAGACATTATGCTAACACATTGTTTTTCCAAGTGAAATAATCCCATATAGGCATATATTCCCCCATGTGTGATGCAGGAAAACAGTGTGATGCTGCCTGGGTGTGATGGTTCTATTTATACTTATCGGATCCATAGCCATCTGTTATCAAGGTGTGCTCAAATTTGAACAATATATGTACAAAATTTGATATTTTGCTGAAAATATAAGAATTTTACCAATTTTGCAGTTAAAAATTCCTTTCATATTATGCCGGACTATGCAGTACATGCATAAAAGGAACGAGAATGAGATGTTCATATATTTCATTGATCAGATGTGAGCAATTATCACCATTATGAAGACAAGTTATACACAATTATAAGCATCATAAAAAAACAACTCCAAATTAAACTCCTATAAATGTCATACATTTATACAATTATTAATCCAAATTAAACAATCCAAGCTTTACTTGTTATATTATTGTATTATTTAGAAATAGCTGTAATATCTCAAAATTTACTTAATGTGTTTTGCAGATGTACCAAAAACAGAGACAATACTCATCGCTTTGACATCATGAGTCAAGAAAAAATGGACACCGAGAAAACTCCCAATAATCTAAAAAACAATAATTGGGTGAAACTGAATATTGGAGGTCAATTATTTGAAACTAGTCGCTCAACATTGGATCGTCTCGATAGCGCTTATTTCAACAGATTATTGGACCATCAGTCGGGATTTGATCAACCACCAGATGGCATCTACAAAATTGACAGAGATCCTGACAGTTTTCGAGTTTTCCTCAACTTTGCCAGGTTAGTGGTATTATATACTACATGTACTGATGTAAGTAATGACTTTGTAATAAGTAGGCACAAAGGGCAACAATCTAACATCACAAAATACATATAAAATTAAAAGGCCTATTTAGCAGTGCCTAATAGTGCAAACATTTTCCTTGTTTTTGCAACTTTCAATAAAATATGAAAATGAAAAGCTGAATCACCTGATCTTCTACAACAAAATGACTTTAACACCATAGACAAAAAACCTGTGGGGACTATAAGGAGTGTTTATAACTCCTTAGAACATAGATATTATAGAAATACTAACATTTGTAAATTCTAAACTTGAATTTGCCACTTTCCCCAAAAGTGCACCTACTTTGTTAGCAAACCTTCTGATCTGCTTTCAACATTAAATGATCTTGATTTCTTTATCTCTGTGCTAAATAACTCTAAAGCCTGCACAGATATCCCTTACCCTGATCCCCCAATTTACCCTCTAACTATTACAGATGATTTTACAGTTTTAACATTGACAGAGCTTCTTTTATCAATAAAATGATTGGGAAGACTGTGCACTTCTTGAATTAAGATGATTTTCTAACTATACCTGTATTCTGATAAGACATGGGTTAAATCAAAGAATTATCTCTAATGAAATAGTGCCAGGTTCTTGAAAAGGGTTGATATCACTTCATCTACTAAATAGATAATTTAACATTTTGATGGCTTTGGGCTCAGGTTAATCCAGTTATAAATCCCTTCATAGATACAAGTGTATCAAATTCCAATAGGAATTTCTACATGGTATATTTCAATAGTATCTTATTTGATTAGCCAGGGAGGGGATTAATCCTTGATTTACTGGTGATAAACATACATTTCCCTCCAAACAGGAACATATTTCATAAAACAGGCTAGGGGATTAATCTTTGGCCCCAGCAGACTGATTCCCAAATTGAATGTTATTCTACAGTCCTGTACCAACCATCATATAAGCTATAACAATTCTGAAATCAAATCAATTTTTTGTTCTTTCCAAGATTGCAAAACCAATTTTGTTTATTCATCTTCCCTTTTAATAAAGTACAAGTAGATTGATGTCAATGAAAACATTATCCTAATATTTTACTTTAAACAGGATAAAATTTTTTAAAAAATTGCCAAAATATTTCTGACCAACAAAAATACCATCTTGGATTTCCAAAGTATGATGTTTTCATTTCAGATCAAACTGCTTAGTGAGTATGCCAATTTAGTTCAACAATTTTCATCTTCCTGGTCAAAAAATGAAAAAAAAATCAAATAGTTTGAAATTAATAGAATATACAATTGTATTCACAAAACTATTTTCTTCTTTTCACAACCTTTATTCTAACTTCACAGGATGTTTCTGATCACATCTGGACCCCTTTTCAACTGTTAAAAAACTGAACTAAAGGCTATACCATTGTATTGTTTTTAATAGCTAAATGGTTATATGTACTTCCATGAAGATGTTGAAGAATTCTACAAAAAATGTTTTCTATTTTCATATAGTGATATTTATCTTAAGTAGATAGTCTGTGGTTTTAAATGACTCTTAAACACACTCCTATCAATACATCTTAAGAACATGTTAACACCTGAATATATGGGAATTTTATGACATGACATATATTTGCATGAACTTATTATTCAGACATATATTCTAATTATCTTTCAAATATGAATACTGAAACATTGGCCTTTTCTTTTAATGTCATGTCGATGTGACATCTGAGTATAAAAAATATCAATAGCAAGTTCAAGATAATGGGAATTTTATGACTTGTAAATTAAAAATTAACGTCATCAATTTCAATTTATAATTATTTGTTGGATTCAGTCCAATATTTTAGATATTTTGGTAGCCTGGAAAGTTTTCTAACCTGGTTTATAAATACAACATGAATCACATTCTATTTTTATCATTTTTATATATGTCAAGTTTGAAAACCAGCTCATTCATTCAAGTGTATTTGTGTGATAAATATCAGGGGGAAAATAATTAACAATTCCTCTTCATACTACAAGTCACCAATGAATCATGTTTATATTTTAAACAAATGTTAGGTGAAAACAGTCCTGCACATAACCTCAAGAAATATCTCAATTGAAACGCAATAAGTACCTCACTTACCATTATTGGGGCTGTGTATGAGACTGTTTCAATAATTAATTTCTAGATTCTCTAGATAATATAAATAATCTAGAAGTAGAACAGACAATTCAATTTCTTGGATGCAAATAGATTAAGAAATCATACCAATTTAACTCATTTAAGATGTGTTTGTTAAATAGTCATATTAGGTCACTGAAACAATTAAACTCCAGGTATGTTGTTTATCTAGTCATATCTACCCCACATAGAAATCAAAATTTTGCCTGCAGAAAATATTAAAAGTAAGAGTTTTCCATCCCTCAATAACTAAACAATGAAATATATCACATGCAAAATAATTGCTTATATTACTATTCATATTTAATTAAAAGTTTAAAACACCAGAATCACATTTACCTTTCTACTCACAAAGTATCAATTTGAACCTGATTGCTAAAGGATCAAGCACTATAACAAACGTTGCATTCATATTATCATAAAACAAAATATTAGTTTAGGTATTTAAATGATTAGAATGCCAAGAATGGCCTGTTAAACTCTAAGCTATATACACAGAGTTAAAGTGATGATTTGGTATTTTACAGTTGCATAAATATTTATCCTGGAGAAGTACAAGAACCATGATATAGAACTTTGACAGTTTGAAGATCTCCAAAAATAATTCAGTAAAATTACAATAAAACTAGTTGCTTTCAAGTTACCCTGTATACGTATTGTACATGTATTTCTATTGGCTAACGTAACAACCCTCTGCCTATATCTAGTGATGCTGACACTGATCTCAATGATCTCTAATGGAGATTTCATGTCTTAACTGAGTCTAAATATCATGAATCAGTGACATAATGCAGAAAATGTAGTATCTGCTTTTGCAATTAAAGAGTGTAAAAGTGAAGGTCTTATATTTGTTATATTCCCATTTGAAATATATGGAAAAGTTATCTCTTAGTACCAAGAGTGTAGTACCAAATATTTATAATACCATGACAGAAAAAATGATATCCTAATTCATAGTCTTGCATCAGGTCTCTGGGCCCTATCTCATCCACTTCAACTCCACAAGTGAATGTGACTATGGCGAGACAAGGGCCTGACACAAGACTACCCAATTTACCATGTACTATTTATTAAAAGGTTACTTTTAAAACTTCAAATTATTAAAAAGTTTATAGTTTTTTTTATTCAAGGGAAAATATCAATAGGATTCTGCAGAAAATCTACTTTCAATCTATTAAAATGATTTTGAAAAGTTAACTAATTAGATCAAATAAAATCATTTGCAGGACCAAACTTTGCTACTATTCTAGTATCTTTTTTGGCTTGATCTAATTCCAATTCCAATTTCAATGTTATTGTTTGTGGCATATATCCGTGTCAAGATGACCTGACCTGAACTTCAAAAGTGTCCTGTAAAAAACCGACAGATGTTATTTTATAATAGATAAAGGCCATGATGAAACCAACAGAACTTTTAAAAATCTTATTATGATTATACTCCTTGAGGCATCTGTCTTAATAATGCACAACTAAACAAAATACTGTCTGGTGAATTATCAATCATAGGACAGGTGACATTAAACTTGAAATCTTCAGGTCAAAATATAATATTAGTTTCTGCTTGATTAACAACAAAAAACTGCTGTATGTAAAATTCAAGAGTTATATTAGGGTTCAGACTAAGGTTAAAAACAGGCTTTGTATAAAAAACCTCATACCCACCTACCCACGTACGTGGGACATGATACAGTCCTTAAAGGGTTCAATTTTAAAAATTATTAAATCTTAGTTGATGTTGAATTTTAGATGAATTAATGCACCCATATGCCTTTATCTATGGATCTGTGAACTGTCTAGTCATAAAACAAAACCGGAATTGCAAAAATGTTTAATGAGGAATTCTGAGGGAGATACAAGTGACAAAACATTGCTTCTGGGACAAGTTCAATAGGCGACTTTGAATGGACCTTTATGCATAGTTCGAAAGGAGAATGGACTCCAAAGCCTGAAAAAATGAACAATTTTATCTGCTGTATTTTACAGTGTGCCTTTAATTTCATGAATTTTAGCTATTTTGTTTTCAGGTCTGCTTTTGATTTTTCGAAATGATTTTTGTTGATGGGGTAGTCTTACAACACATCTTGAAGTCCTGCCTTTTCTATCGATCATATAAATATTATTGATCCCTTAATAGCCCTTGCGTCATACTTTAAATAACCCTATTCACTTTTAATTAACCTTGTATAAAAATTGTTATTTATTGTTATTTATATTTCATTTTGACTTTTGAATCAGAAATCAAAATTACAAAAATAAACCAAGACTAGGATCTACGAGGAGAGATATGTGGATGGGGAGATATGTGGATGGGGAGATACGTAGATGGGAAGATACAATAGTATAGTCTAAATGGTAATAAAATAGAATTGATATGTTTTGACTATATTCTGCTGCTATAGTTACTGCATTGTTGTTGTATATCATTTGCAATTTAGATTCCTAATCCTCAATAAAATAACTGAAATCAAAACAAAACAAAGCAAAACGAAAGTATTAAAAATTTAAAAACAACAACAGATAACCTTTACTTTAAGACCTTTTAAGAAGGATGTTATACTCTTTAAGATAAATAAATAATAACCGTAATGATTAAGGATTTCAAGTTGACATACATAGATATAAAACAATTATCAATTATTCAAAATTGAACTTCAAAGTGGCACATGCTATATTACCTAACAACATGAAGTAGCAAATTAAGTATCTACATTACAAGGTCATATCCTCTACACCTACCAGTTTAGTTTGAATTAAAGTTAAGAAAACTTCAGACATATTTGATTTCACAAGATTTGGAAGGATGTCATCCTGAGGATCTTGCATCAAGTTCTTGCAAAACTCCCTCATCTTTGTATCTCCCCATCCCATCTACAGTATGTATCTCCCCATCTACGTATATCTCATATTTGGATCTCCCCATCTTTGTATCTCCCCATCTTTGTATCTCCCCATCTACGTATATCTCCATATTTGGATCTCCCCATCTATGTATCTCCCCATCCCATCTACAGTATGTATCTCCCCATCTACGTATATCTCATATTTGGATCTCCCCATCTTTGTATCTCCCCATCTTTGTATCTCTTCATCTTTGTATCTCCCCATCTACGTATATCTCCATATTTGGATCTCCCCATCTATGTATCTCCCCATCCCATCTACAGTATGTATCTCCCCATCTACGTATATCTCATATTTGTATCTCCCCATCTTTGTATCTCCCAATCTATGTATCTCCCCATCCCATCTACAGTATGTATCTCCCCATCTACGTATATCTCCATATTTGGATCTCCCCCACTATGTATCTCCCCATCCCATCTACAGTATGTATCTCCCCATCTACGTATATCTCCATATTTGGATCTCCCCATCTTTGTATCTCCCAATCTATGTATCTCCCCATCTACATATCTCCCCATCTATGTATCTCCCCATCCCATCTACAGTATGTATCTCCCCATCTACGTATATCTCATATTTGGATCTCCCCATCTTTGTATCTCCCCATCTTTGTATCTCTTCATCTTTGTATCTCCCCATCTACGTATATCTCCATATTTGGATCTCCCCATCTATGTATCTCCCCATCCCATCTACAGTATGTATCTCCCCATCTACGTATATCTCATATTTGTGTAACCATGGGGGAGTGGACGTGGGTTACATTACAAATCGAATTAACAGAATAAGAATATAAAATGTATTTAAAATGTATTCAACCCTATAATCAATCAAATGATCAAAATGTTATACAAATGAGCTAAATCTCTCAACTGATCTTAATACTCAAGCTACCTAAATCACTAACTCACTTAAGACCAAAACCACAAATGCTTAAGGCTGTGCACCTAGTTTGTACCCCAGAGCTGCAAATAAAAGTAATGTACAAATAGCTGTTTGTAAAGCAGGTAAAATACAATAATGAAACATACAGTTTTATGATAAACTTCTTAGTACTAAGGGCTATGGGACTTAAAGGGCCCTTATTCTGTTCCCAAGAAAACCCTTATACTGTGCTTGACGCACTACATACATTTCTCTATTGAAATTACCAAATATAAATATAATTCAGTTACTTTATGCAAAATGTACCATGAAGGTTTACAATTGAGCAATATAAAATAAAATGTGGAATGTACCTTATAAAATAAGCTATACAGTCTCTGAGTGCTAGCCATACATCTTTAGTACGCACACAGTGTCTCCTGTAAAACGTGTGTACCAAGATAAGTCATATGAAATGACATAAATGGTGGTTTTAATTGTAAATGAATAACGCACAGGTGCATGAAATGAACATCACCTTATGGACAAATGTTCCAACACATTGTTCAAGTTTTACAAAGAAATTACTCAAAAGTATTTGAAATACAAAATAATATTTACATCAAATTGGAGCTAAAGTTATGGAGAATAAAATGAATACAATTGGCATAATGTTGGCATATTCTAAAGGGTAAAAAGTGACAAAAATATATGAAAATTCCTTACCATGTCTTTACAGTTCAAAATCAAGGCTAGCACTGGTGATTTGGAAAGTAAATGCAATCAAGGTTAATCCCCTTGCATGTGCACACTGTGTGTAAATCAAAGCTATTCTCCTAGCAGGGTTTGAAAATATAATTGAAATACATAAAAATATAACTCTCCACAGTAGGGTTTGAAAATCTAAAACATCCTGTCACACACACGCGGACTCGTCATAATTTGTCCCAAATTATCCTTGCTCTTGCTACCACAGGAATTATAAAATACATTAAATTATAACAACAAAATGTCACACACACGTGGAACATAGAAAATAACATTATGAAATACCATTATGAAGGATTATCCTCCCCTAATTAACATCCACTACCTTAAAATGGTAGTCAATAAAATTATGTTCTGTTAACAAAGTAACTTTTTATATATGTATTGTGTTTCTTTTATAGTATAAATAACAGTAACATATAACAGTAATTTGAATTATTAAAATAGAACAATAGTTAAGAAAATAACATTTATTAAAGAACGCTTATCGCAAATCACTAAACGCGATAAAATATATATCTCAATTTTTCTGACATCATGTCTACATCATGGCATTCTGAGCTGCTAATCTTTTTGATCTCCTGATAGTCTCAGTTTCAGGCACATCTTCATGTTTGTTTTGTTTTATTCCTCTTACTTTCTGTGGAACTTCTTTTAAGTCTACTATGTTTACAGCTTTTCTCGCTCCATACTTATTTTCTATCGTGTAAACATCATTTTTCCTTTGTACAACTGTATATATGTCTTCTTCAAAAGAATCTTGGATTTTATTTCTTCCTTGTATTCTCTTCCTGGTAAGAACTTTTGATCCTATTTCTATAACAGTCTCTCTAGCTTTCTTGTCAAAGATTTCTTTTCTTCTGTCTGCTTCTTTGTCTATTTTCATTGCTGCTTTTGTGTGTGCTTCTTTCAATATTCTTTCATGTTCTACTATCCAACTTTTGTTCTCTTTCTGAACCTGTTCTTCTTTTTCTTTATCCTTATCACAAGTATCAACATCGTCAACACCTAGTTGAATGGATATTGGAAGTCTCGGTTCTCGACCAAACATCAGAAAGAAGGGGGAGTATCCCGTAGAACTGTGTGGTGTTGTGTTATAACAGTAGGTCAGTTCTTTGATATAATCAGGCCATCTTCTCTTCTTGTCTTGTTCAAGAGATATCAGAAGGTTGTGAAGCATCCTATTAAATCTTTCGCATTGGCCGTTTCCTGAGGGGTGGTATGGCGTTGTTCTTGATTTTTCTATATTATACATCTTACAAAGACACTTGATGATCTCACTCTCGAAGTTTCTTCCTTGGTCGCTATGTATTCTGTGTGGGATGCCAAATATATGGATAAATGACCTCACTAGTACTTTAGCTACAGTCTCAGCTTTTTGATCTCTGGTGGGTTCTGTGATTGTGAACTTTGTGAATGCGTCTGTGATCACAAGTACATTTTCCATTCCATTGGATGCTTTTTCAAGAAGAGTAAAGTCAATAAAGACTAGATCTAATGGTCTATATGCTGTAAGTCTGCCTAGAGGTGTAATAACTTTCTGGTAAGGCATCTTTCCGAACAGACATCTGCTACAGGTTGTGATATATTCTGTGACATCTTGATGAAGTTCTGTCCAATAGAATCTTTGTTTGATGAGCTTCTCTGTTCGTTCTACTCCTTGGTGTCCTGTGAAGTCATGTAGTGACTTAAGAACTTCTTCCTTCAGAACATCTGGTACAACAGCTTGGAATACAGAAGTGTCATTAAAGTGTGATTTTCTGTACAGGATTTCATCTATCATTACAAGGCTTTTCAACTGTTTAACCAATTTTCTTTGACTTTTTGTGAGTTTCTTCATTGCTTTTGAAGTAAGTTTGTAGTTAACTTTTACCATCTCAGTTATGAGAGCGATATCCCTGTCATTTTGCTGTAATTCTCTGTAACCATCCTTCGTTATTGTTGGTAGAAATGAAGATGCTACATCTTTTGATATTTCTGCTTCTATTTGTAGTGCTGCAACTTCTTTTTGTTTGGCTTCTTTTATTTCTTCCATCTCAGGTAAGTATGTGATGTCACACTGTTTGGCAAGTATCTGCATTGCACTAACTTCGAAATCTTCTTCTCTATCATCTTCTTCCGAGTCATGTTCTAGTCTAGATAGGCAGTCTGCAGCTGTGTTGGTTTTACCAGGTTTGTATTTGATGTCGAAATCAAAACTCGCCAGATCAGATATCCATCGCTGTTCCAAAGCAGGTAGTCTCTTCTTGTGCATGATGTACGTTAAGGGATTATTGTCTGTGAATACAGTGAACTTGGTTCCTAGTAAGAAGTCTCGAAATTTCTCTGTTATGGCCCATTTAAGTGCGAGAAGTTCTAGTTTCTTGGATGAGTAGTTTTTCATATTTCTCTCTGCACCTCGGAGTGATCGACTGCCATAACCTATTACTCTCATTCTGCCATCTTGAAGTTGGAAAAGTTCGGCTCCAAGGCCCGTATTGGAAGCATCGGTTTCGAGTATAAATGGTTTGGAATAATCTGCAAAACCTAGACATGGTGCTGTTGTTAGTCTTTCCTTGATCATCTCCATAGCAGCTTTACATTCTGAAGTCCAAAGTTTCTCTATGTTTGCTGTCTTTTTGCTGGATTTGTTGAGAACCTTCTTTACAAGATCATGTAGGGGTTGAGCTACAGAAGCATAGGATTTGATGAAACGTCGATGATATCCTGCAGTTCCTAGGAATTTTCTCAAGTCTTTTAAAGTATTTGGTTCCTTCCAGTTGACAATCTGATCTATCTTGGATGGGTCTGGTTGAATTCCTTCTCCTGAAACTTTGTGTCCCAAGTAGATTACTTCTGTTTTGAAGAAATGGCATTTTCGTAGTTCCAATTTGAGATTGTGTTTCTTTAGTATCTTGAAAACTGTTTCAAGTCTGTCAATGTTTTCACTGATTGAAGAGGAGTATACGAGTAGATCATCTAAATAACAGAGTACAGTTTTGAAAAGCTCTTCACGAAATGCAATCGTCATGAGTCGTTGGTATGTTGAAGGCGCATTAGATAGTCCAAATGGCATTCTCATATATTCGTATAGTCCTAGAGGAGTAGTACATGCAGTCTTGTGGATATCTTCATCGATGACTTTCACTTGCAAATAAGCACTTTGGAGGTCGATGCAGCTGAATATCTTCGAGTTTAGAAGGGAATCCATGCTCTCTTGGATTCTTGGAAGTGGAAAAGAATCTCTAGTGGTGTGTTGATTCAAGCGTCTGTAGTCCACACACAGGCGTATAGATTTATTCTTCTTCCTAACGATCACCACTGGACTGGCAAAAGAACTGTTGCTGGGTCTAATGACTTTCTTTTCTATCAGTTTATCTATGTGCTCCTTTACTTCCTCGAAAATGGCAGGTGGTATTCTTCGGTACGGTTCATTTATTACTAGGCCGTCAGGTGTTGGAATACTGTGCTGCAATAAGTCAGTACATCCTAGATCGGTTTCATCAGTTCCAAAGATGTCATGGTATGTTAAAAACATTTCCTTCGCCTTTGTAGATTCCTCTTTAGTTCCTTGGAAGTTTTTCATGATGTTGTCGATTTGTTCCATCACTTTTGTGTTGACAGGAAGGTTGTTCTTGTTTGGTTCACTCAGATTCAATTCAGTTTCTTGATTTGGTGACTTTGTGTTTTGCTGTGTTATTTTGCTATCTTGTATATTCATTTCATTTGTGTTACTGCAGTATGAGATTCTGCAACAGCTGGCAGTAGCTGGTTGTATTTTCCCAAGTGGCGTTCTTGTGGAAATAAAGATATCACTCTGTGAAGTATTTAAGATGTTCACAGTTGATGTCCCAGAACTCGCATCTATGAATCCCGTTATCAGTTGAACATTTCCAGGTAGAGCTGTATCTAATGGTTCTACTACACCATTCCCTCTGAAACTTCCTGTAGTGACTTTCACGTCAGTAGTTGATGAAGCTGGTATTAAAACTTTTTGAGGTCCTTGTAATCGAATTAGGTTTGTCTTTTCCATTAGTTGTATTTCCTTGAATTTTGGTAGGTTTTTCAAGATATTCATTCCAATAAGAAGATCAGGGCAGTTTCCATCCTCTGCGTG